CGAGGGCTGGGTTCGCGATTACGTAGATCACTACTATCCATCCTCGGCCCAAGTTTGCAGTGACAGGGAGCTGCAAGCTTGGTATACTGAGACTATTAATGTGGGCCACGTTGACCTCCGCAACGAGGACTGGTGGCCCACGTTAGCTACTCCAGAGGACCTCATTTCCATCCTCACCACCCTCATCTGGCTGGCTTCAGCGCAACATGCTGCCCTGAATTTCGGGCAGTACCCTTACAGTGGATACGTTCCAAACCGACCACCACTCATGCGTCGATTAATCCCTGACGAGAACGATCCCGAGTATGCGGTGTTCCTAGCTGATCCACAAAAATATTTCTTCTCAGCTTTACCAAGTTTGTTACAAGCAACAAAGTTCATGGCCGTGGTTGACACATTATCGACACATTCCCCAGATGAAGAATACATAGGGGAAAGACAGCAACCGTCTACTTGGACCGGAGATGCAGAGATTGTTGAAGCATTCTACAAATTTTCCGCGGAAATAGGGAGAATTGAGAAGGAGATAGATGAAAGAAATGCCGATACGAATCTAAAAAATAGGTGTGGTGCTGGTGTATTACCATATGAACTATTGGCACCAAGTTCAGGCCCTGGAGTAACATGTAGGGGTGTTCCAAATAGTGTATCGATATGAGTAATTATAAGTATATATATATTATATATAACCTATGTTTATAAAGCCCATAAATAGGGCGGACTGCTGTGTCTAGTTATGTCAAAATGTATGTTTGTATCTACGGCTAGATTTTTGTAAGAACATTAATTAAGTTAAATAATTAGCCACTAATACTAGCTTAAGTCCATCTACCACATACTTGAGTTCCGTTACTACTTCATTTGCATTATATTATTATCATGTTCCAAAATTTGTTGCTTATCTCGACTTACAGACATATTATCTAAATGTTTTGCTAAATAACGACTCCGACACAGTCATATTATATTACCGCCTGCCTTCGTTATAAAATTATACCGATTACAAATCGTTATAATTATGACAAATCTTGGTTAAAAGATACTTTTAAATTGCGAATTCATAATTTTAATTAATTTTTTTCTTCAAATCATTAGTACATTTTATTCCCACTAGTGCAGTACTCTTTTAACTTTTTTCTAAGACCTTACCTTTCGTTCTCGCCAGTGCAATAAATATTGCAATATCCAATTGTGTCCGGTTCAAAGCTTGTGGGAATGTTACAATATCTCACATAATATATACGCATCAGCTTGTGGGAATGTTACAATATCTCACATAATATATACGCATCTCATGAGTTGACTTTTGAAGTCGCGTTAGTTTCATGATCTAATTCACATAATAAATAATGGTGTCTTACTGCGTGATCGTGGTGACGTTATTCTAGAAGTAATCATTATAGACTTGGACTAAAACCAACACTACTACAATTTATCATGACTTCCCACAATAATGTTCGTCAGCTTTTTTGGCCACTACACTTTCCATTAAAACAACTTTACTTTTTAGAAATTGCAGTTGATTTTACAGAGTCATGGATGGTCATGGAACACCACCCACTCAATTTTCTTTTAATAATTCTGAGTCATCAATAACAAGTATGTAATTGTATTTGTGTTGTGCCCACATTTGTCTGTAAAATTGCTTTTAAATAGAAGCTCAAGTCATTTTTCTCTTGTTGTGAAGAAGATAAAAAATTTTATTCAGATTTCTTTTTTTTTTTGCAAAACTAAAATATCACTTCCATATATGTATATTACGAATATATTTCTTATTAATTAATTAACATATCTCATATGTTTGGATAAGTTTCATTTAATAATTTCATTTTGCATTTTTATATAATAAATTTTATATTTTATTTTATGTTTATGCATTATTTTTTATATATTATATTATGTATCATTTTTCAGAATTAAAAAAAAATAACAACAATATTTTTGCAAGATTAGAATTTTTTCAAAAAATATTTTAGCCCTCCAAAATATATAATATTGATTGAAAATTTGAAGATAAATATTTTAATTTAATAAAAGAAAATGTCTAAGTTTTTTTTTTGTAATAGATGTTCCTAATTTGACTATCAAAAGTATTTTTAAAAAAATTAAATTAGTCAGACAGAATTTCCTTATAAAAATATTTTTCTAATGAATTAGCTAAATACAAATTGATTTTCCTTTCTAAAACACTGAAAAGTTATTTTAAAAAAGTGCTTGTGAAAATAAGCATTTTTTCAAAGCAATACCAAACAAGCTCATAATCAGAATCAATTGCGAAATTAAGTTGCTATATTAATTTAATTAATATTTTGAAGGGACTCTATTTATTTTTTTACCTTTTTCTTTTCTCTTTCACAGTTTGATGGTTGTTAGAGCAGTCCCCCTATATTATATTAGAATAAATCCAGATTGAGAGTGGTTAAAGGAAAAGTGAATATTAAAGTGGTACAGTCTGAAATGAAAATTAAAAAAAAAAAAGCTTCATTGTTATATATTTGATTATTGGGTTGTTACAGTCTGAAATGGAACATGTTACCAAAAAAAAAAAGGGGGTCATTCGCCAGAATGGCAAAAATAGGGTGATCTTATCAAAATTGTTGGTCTTTAATTTTTTTAAAAATTATTTTTAGAGCTTTAAATAATTAAAAATTAGATGAAAATTCGGAAAATTGTAAGGGATAAATTCAGTTAAAAACATGACCAAGACATAAGTTCTGTAACAATTATGCTGAAAATAAAGAAATTTAAATAAAATTAAAGAAAACTCAACAAATAAATTTTTAGGGGTAAATTTAATTAGCAAAAACTATATCTTGGTCTAAAAATATGAAATTTGAACCTACCTTAATGATTTAATATATCAAATTCAATATTGTAACAATATGTTTCGGAGCATCAAGTGTGTTTTTCGATTAAATATTGCCCAAACAGTATTGATGCTAAAATAATGTGCATTTATTTATGAGTTCTCCTAAATTCTTTTTTCACATTTTAACTTCTTAAACTAAATTGAAGAGATGAAATGAATGGGTGATACGTCAGGTTTTTTTAATAACAAATTAAGTTGAGTGTTTTAATGATATAAAAATCTAAATTGAGTAATTTTATTGATATAAAAAGTAAGTTAAATAAATTTATTAGATAAATTTTTATAATTGACTAACATTTTAAAATATTAATTCGTTATACCCGCACAGGATGTGTACATCAATTCAATACATGCACACCATGTTTTTTAATTTACAGTTCATTTTATTCAATCTTAATCAATTAACATGTGTTTTACTTCATTAAGTCATACAATAATGAATTTTAATGTAAACACCCGATGCCAGATAAATTTTTTCCGCTTACAATAACTTTGAATCAGAAATATATGACTCGATTATAGTACCATGATTTTCTTTTTCTGAAAGAAAGAAGGGTCTGGTTGTTAGAAACATAAACAATTGTTAATTTTAAAATCACCGTTCCTGTTTTGTGTATTATTTAGAACTAAGATTTGTGTCAATGATTAAGGGCCCGTTTAGATAGGCTTGATAAAAACAGCTTTAAAAAATTACTTTTGAAAGTGCTGAAACTTATTTTTAAAATAAGCAGTTATGCGTTTGAATAAAAGTGCTGAAGTTGCTACGCCAAACGTGAAAAGGGAAAAATGGAAGAAAGAGATGTTAGGGTTATGTGGATAATTTTGAGATTGTATAAAGATATTAAGGGCAAAAAGATAAAAATGTGGTCAACTTAAAATACCTTATAAACTAAAAAAAAGCACCCCTACCCTATCTTTTAATTTTTGGCTTAAAATAAGTTTTTTTAACTTAAAATAAGTTATTTTGAGTATTATCAAACAGCTAAATAAGTCAAAAATCAGCTTTTAAATCAATTTGACCAGCTTTTAAGCTGAGCCAAACAGGCTCAAAATTTAAAGAATGAAGGGTCACTAGTCAAAGTCAAGTTAAATTTCATTCCAAGTCTCTCAAAATTTAGCAGAAGGTGCATCACGTACAAAATTTGGAAAACTAGTGACCTCCGGTTACACATTTTTATTACAAAACAATCCAAAGTCAAAATATAGAAACTTACAACTCATTACTTATTCATTTCCTGGTTCATTACTGATTTCGATTTATTTGATGTGATTATGCTTGATTAAGCGGTAAAATAGATAGAAAAAAGGAATTTGAAATTTTATTTCTTTAATTTTAATTTATCTGGCGTTTTTAAGATTTTAAAATTTAAATAAGTTTATTTTTGCTCATGAATTTTCATATATATATTTGAATTATTTTAATTGTAATTTATATTACTTTTACGTAATTTACAAATATATAAATTTTCTTTTAAAAAATTGAAGATTACATGTGTAAATTTTCAATCAAATTTAAATCGTTTAACTTTCAAAAAATGTAAAGTAACACATAAATTGAGATAGAAAGGAAGTATCATTTTATAAAATATGACATAATTTTTATGTTATCACTACACAATTTATTTTCTTAAACATTTTTAAAATATAATAATAACATCTGTGTGATTATTTTACTCAGAGTGCCTCATTAAGCAACTGTTACAATTAATAAAAAATTGCCTTTATTTGAATCAGATTTGTTCAACATCCATCTATACTTTTTTCCAATGAGTTTCAAATTGTTGGACTGTGGGGTACCTTTTGTTTTTTCATTCACACAAATATTCTCTATTTCAGATGTTTAGTTTACCTCTTTGAAATATCTGATCTTGATTTTTTATTTTTCTATATTTTAAAAGATAAATTGAATAACAAATAACTTTTCTAAAAATATGTCAAGTACATAAGGTTATATAGATAGGCTATAGACTTCATCGAAAGAGGCCAAAATCTGAAAATCATCAGTAAAAATAAAAAATCACCATATTCAAAAGTAAAATTTTAAAATTATACCAAAACAAGAAGCATTTTTTTTTTTAAAAAAAAAACTATCTTATCGTATGTTACTATTCCAAGTCGTTTCACATCCTGTTGGAAGGCAATAAGGAAGAAGTAAGAAGAAGTTTGTTGGAAGAGGAAAGGCAACTGAAACATAATTTCGAGGAAGTGTTTTAGACATTTTTCTAACTATACAAGTCCACTCTCCCCATTAATAAATTAGACTACTAAATTTATATTGACTCATTAAATTATTCAGGTAGTAACGACCATCTCTCAATTACTATAAATACAGCTTTCGTTAAGCCACAATTAACCATTACACCACTTCTCATCCAACGCCCAATCAACACAATGGAAGGTACTACCTGGACTGCAACTGCAGTGTTTCTTGCTACTCTGTTTCTTTTGTTTCTCTCCAAATTTCTTCGCAAGAGGAAACTCAACTTACCTCCAGGCCCAAAACCATGGCCGATCATCGGAAATTTAAACCTTATGGGTTCCCTTCCTCACCGATCCATCCACGATCTCTCCGTCAAGTACGGACCCATTATGCAACTACAATTCGGGTCTTTTCCCGTCGTAGTTGGCTCCTCTGTAGAAATGGCCAAAATTTTCCTCAAAACCATGGATATCAACTTTGTTGGCAGGCCTAAAACTGCTGCCGGAAAGTACACTACCTATAATTATTCAGATATTACATGGTCCCCGTACGGATCCTATTGGCGTCAGGCACGTAGAATGTGCCTGATGGAATTGTTCAGCGCAAAACGGCTTGATTCATACGAGTACATTCGGGCTGAGGAACTTCATTCTATTCTTCATAATTTGAACAAATCATCGGGGAAACCGATTCTGCTGAAAGATTATTTGACGACTCTGAGTTTAAATGTTATTAGCAGAATGGTATTGGGAAAAAGTTACTTGGACGAATCCGATAACTCGATTGTGACTCCTGATGAATTTAAAAAGATGTTGGATGAATTGTTCTTACTTAATGGAGTCCTTAATATTGGAGATTCAATTCCATGGCTTGATTTCATGGACCTACAAGGTTATGTTAAGAGGATGAAAGTTGTAAGCAAGAAATTTGACAAATTTCTGGAGCATGTACTTGATGAGCATAACATGAGAAGGAACGCAGTGGAAAACTATGTCGCTAAGGACATGGTGGATGTTCTATTGCAGCTTGCTGATGATCCAACTCTGGATGTTAAGCTGGAGAGACATGGAGTCAAAGCATTCACTCAGGTATTCACTTTATTCTTATTATTAATGACCATATATATATATAACTTAAACTCAAAAATAAAATACATTGTTTGTATAAGATAATTTTCTCATTTAACCTTGCACTGATGAATCCCTGCTGCAGTGCTCTGCTCCACTTTATTGAGTATGGATGCAGACAAGATATTGTGGACCAAAATTTGGTTTATCACTTTTGAACAAGAAAATGAATATACTCTTAATAATTGAAGTGGATCAATGATAGTGTTGTAGAAATGATATCACATCCACTTTCTGTCCAAGTAAAACGGACGATTTAAGGTGGTCCATTTGTAGCTATTTTAGAAATAGAAAGTGACTACTAAAAGAATATAAATGAATTTTGTAGCTATATTACCAAAAATTACGGCTCTAATACTAGTTAGCACCACATTATAATAAGTTATTAACTATGATTAGCGAGAAAGTTCATAGCTAGTTAGGTTATTTGTATTTGTTTCTTATGCTTGATTAAAGTTGATGAGACGAGATTAAAATGTGTATGTACAATCAGGACTTGTTGGCTGGTGGAACTGAGAGTTCAGCAGTGACAGTAGAATGGGCAATTTCAGAGTTGTTGAAGAAGCCAGAGATTTTCAAAAAAGCTACCAACGAATTGGATCGAGTAATAGGCCAAAACAGATGGGTACAAGAAAAAGACATCCCGAATCTTCCTTACATAGAGGCAATTGCAAAAGAGACTATGCGTCTGCACCCCGTGGCACCAATGTTGGTGCCACGTGAGTGTCGGGAAGACTGCAAGGTAGCTGGCTACGATGTTAAAAAAGGAACCAGGGTCCTGGTGAGTGTGTGGACTATAGGAAGGGATCCAACATTGTGGGACGAGCCTGAGGCTTTCAAGCCTGACAGGTTCCTGGAGAAGTCCATCGATGTTAAAGGACACGATTTTGAGCTTTTGCCATTCGGAGCTGGGAGAAGGATGTGCCCTGGATACAGCTTGGGTCTTAAGGTGATTCAAGCTAGTTTAGCTAATCTTCTTCATGGATTTAACTGGTCATTGCCTGATAATATGACTCCTGAGGAACTCAACATGGAAGAAATCTTTGGGCTCTCAACACCCAAAAAGTTTCCACTTTCTGCTGTGATTCAGCCAAGGCTTTCATCAAAACTTTACTCTGTTTGATTCAGCATCTACTATACTATGGTTCCATCGAAATAGAGTTTCTTTATCCAAATACTTTAGCTAAATAAACTCTAGCTATAGTCCTAATACTCTACTTTTATTTCGCTTTTGCCCCTCAGTCACCTGGATTTGCTTATATGTTTGTATCACTCAGGATGTGTTAATCAAGGTTAAGAAAAATGAATCAATTTCAATATTTCTGTAATGTAAGAATGTTTTTGGAAAGATTTCACATCATGAGTTAACTCTTTTACTTTAGTTTTCAGAAAGTCAGTCATACTACTTTAGTTCATTATGATGAAATGGAATATGGATTTTTGTTGAAGCCATTCTTCTATCTATCGTTCTAGTTTTTAGTGAAGCGACTGTCTGATATCCCATCGTGTAAATAGAATGATTATCAGCATGGTCCCTATTATCATATCCTTGATAAATATTTTAATAGACTCCTCTTATAACCCAAACAATACTAGCAAAGGCAGTCAAGAAGAAACAAGTATATATTTGTCTTATGGTGTTGTGGATAGGTCACAATCAGTTGTGAATTAGGAAAGTAAATCACGCAAGTTCTTCATTAATTGATATATCAAGTGTATGAACTTCCTTAAGAACCTATTTTTCTTTTTTCAGTTTCTCTGGTGATTGGATGGTACTGGTAGTTGGGGCACTCCACAGTGTGGTGACACACTTGAAAGACATGTTAAGGGTCCAAAGCTATGAACCTGTACTACATTATTATTCGTTATAATAGTTTAACGTAAAGTCAAATAACTTTTACAAATTTTAGAATATGCAAGAAGTGTTCATTTTATTATCACCCATCCGATTCATTTGTCATTAAAATCATTTAGGGATTAAAATAAGAGTCACTAGTCAAAGTCGAGGTAAACGTCAGGTCAATTCTTCACAAAATTTGGTAGGAGTGAAAATTAAAGTTACAGGTATTTAGTATAATTTTCTAGAGTAATATCTTTGATATTTGTACTTAACAAAAATTTAGACAGCTTTGACTATTATGATATTTAAGGAAGATATTTGTAGGAAAGAAGAATCATCCCTACACAAGTATAAATAGGAATGACCTTAGTCATTTGTAATCAATACAAGAGCTATTTAAATCATACACTAATTTTCTTTTATAATAATTAATAATTTTTTTATTCAAAAATACACATTCTCCTTTCTAACTTTCTCTTCTTTAGTTAAATTTTTCGATCTAAGTTAATTATTTTGAGCTAGCAGAAGGATTTACCGATTATACTTTTGTTTTACTATTAAGGTGCAATCAATCACGTACCAAATTGGAAGACTTTGACATTTTTGTACACGTAATTTCTAATTTAAAGTGAAATGCACAAACTTATAACTTAGTTACTGTGTAATAAGATCACTTCACTCTTTTAACAGATTTATTTCTGTGAATATAAATTAATCATATATTAAATTTTAAATGACAAATGTTACCTAAAAAATAAACCACTCGTTCTACTTATTAAATTTTACTTGTTTAACACATGTTGAAGGTAGGGAGGAAATAATAAATAGTTTCTTGGAAAACCAAAGGCAACTGAAACAAAGTTCCAAAGGACATTATTACACTTTTTTTCCATTTTCATTCGGCATATGATATCTATATTAAAATTAGATTAAATTCAAATTAGTGTCAAGAAAGTTTTCGTTGAGGTAAAATGCTTCCTAAATAAATGACTCTATACCAAGAAGACTCAAACTCAGGATTTCTGTTAAGTATGAAGCAATAATTATCGCTCTATCACAAATTTTGTTGATACTCTCTATTAAAGCGACAGAAAAATGTTCAACGATCTATTAAAAGAAAATAGTTGTCCCAATATATGTGTATATATATAAAATATCTATCGACTATTATTCATGTAACACTACTAGACCATTACTATAAATACAGCTCTGGCTAAGCCATAAACAACACACTCCAAATAATTAGCACTTGCAGTCCTGTTCCACTACAAACAACATAATGGAAGGTAGTAGCTGGACTGCAGTTTTTCTTGCTACTCTGTTTGTTTTGCTTCTCTCCAAATATCTTTTCCAAAGGAAACTCAACTTACCTCCAGGACCAAAACCATGGCCAATCATCGGAAATTTAAACCTTATTGGCAGCCTTCCTCACCGATCCATCCACGATCTATCGGTCAAGTATGGACCCATTATGCAACTACAATTCGGGTCTTTTCCCGTTGTAGTAGGCTCCTCCGTTGAAATGGCAAAAGTGTTCCTTAAAACCATGGATATCAACTTTGTCGGTAGGCCTAAAACCGCTGCTGGAAAATACACCACCTATAACTATTCCGATATCACTTGGTCCCCGTACGGATCCTATTGGCGTCAGGCACGTAGAATGTGCCTGATGGAATTGTTCAGCGCAAAACGGCTCGATTCATACGAGTATATTCGCGCTGAGGAACTTCATTCTATTCTTCATAATTTGAAGAAAACATCGGGAAAACCTATTCTGTTGAAAGATTATTTGACAACTCTGAGTTTAAATGTTATTAGCAGAATGGTATTGGGAAAAAGTTACTTGGACGAATCCAAAAACTCCATTGTAACACCCGATGAATTTAAAAAGATGTTGGATGAATTGTTCTTACTTAATGGAGTCCTTAATATTGGAGATTCAATTCCATGGCTTGATTTCATGGACTTGCAAGGTTATGTTAAGAGGATGAAAGTTGTGAGCAAGAAATTCGACAAATTTCTGGAGCATGTACTTGATGAGCATAACGTGAGAAGGAACGCAGTGGAAAACTACGTTGCTGAGGACATGGTGGATGTTCTATTGCAGCTTGCTGATGATCCAACTCTAGAGATTAAGCTGGAGAGACATGGAGTTAAAGCATTCACTCAGGTATAACCACAATATACGTAACTTAATTAAACTCAAGTAATTTTCATTAACCAAACACTCCACTCAGGACTCTGTTGATATGGCCAATGACAAGATATTGTGTGGACCCAAAATTTAGCTATCGTTTTCCAACAAGAAAAAGGAATATACTCGTAATAATTATCAATGATAATGGTATCACTTCCACTTTCTGTCCTAGTAGAAAAAAACTACTCTTTTTATCTTTTTTTTTAGCTAAATAACAAAATCTGTCTCTATGACATGAGTAAAATCAGGACATGTTGGCTGGTGGAACTGAGAGTTCAGCAGTGACAGTGGAATGGGCAATTTCAGAGCTGTTAAAGAAGCCAGAGATTTTCAAAAAAGCTACAGAGGAATTGGATCGAGTAATAGGCCAAAACAGATGGGTACAAGAAAAAGACATCCCGAATCTTCCTTACATAGAGGCAATTGCAAAAGAGACTATGCGTCTGCACCCCGTGGCACCAATGTTGGTGCCACGTGAGTGTCGGGAAGACTGCAAGGTAGCCGGATATGACATTCCAAAAGGAACCAGGGTCCTGGTGAGCGTATGGACTATAGGAAGGGATCCAACATTGTGGGACGAGCCTGAGGCTTTCAAGCCTGAGAGGTTCCTGGAGAAGTCTATCGATGTCAAAGGACATGATTTTGAGCTTTTGCCATTTGGAGCTGGGAGAAGGATGTGCCCTGGATACAGCTTGGGTCTTAAGGTGATTCAAGCTAGTTTAGCTAATCTGCTTCATGGATTTAACTGGTCATTGCCTGATAATAGGACTCCTGAGGAACTCAACATGGAGGAAATTTTTGGGCTTTCAACACCCAAAAAGTTTCCACTTTCTACTGTGGTTGAGCCCAGGCTTCCATCAAAACTTTACTCTATTTAATTCAGCACTGTTTGTTTGACTTGATGCCCTGTTTAAGCACTTTTGTAATCTTGTATCCTTTTATTTGCTTGGAAGTGAACATCACTCATAATAATAATAAAGAATTAATTACAAGTTCTCTTATGGAAACGATGTATTTCTTGGCAATGGCTTGATATCAACACAAACTTGGTTTAGCTAGAGACACCTATGTATATTAATATATATTTCTATCTTTTATGTTATTTATTATGACGATGATATGATATGAGATTTAACTGACGAAAGGAAAATTCATATAACCAACCCCCGCCTCATGTAAAATTGAACCATTCAACATCTCAATGAATGACTAACAGAAAACCATGTTAAAACACACACGACTTCAGAAAAACTGATCTTTATTTGACAATGTACAAAACAACAAAACTGACTTCCAAGTGCCTAATTCTTCCCACTATTGAACAAATAAAATTATAGCCAAAATACAATCAAAATGCACTACTTCATGCAAACGCTACCACAGAAAAAACTGCAATGACATTGGGAACCACCCGCCCTCTCTAAAAATCCCAACCCACCCGCATACTGAAGCACATAGAACTAACTGAAAATCCTTCCACTGTTAAAAGAAGACGGGACCAGAGAGCAACTCAAAGGCGCTGTAAAAAAAATTCCCTTGCGGCGTTGTAAAAATAAATACAGTTACACAAAAACGCCTTCAGCAGCCTTCACTGTTGTGAGCAGCAAAATTGTGATAAATTAACATTTTCATATCAAGAAACTGCTTCCGCAAATTTACACCTACGAAATGAGAGCATAAAACAGATTACAACATAGAATATGAATAGGAGTTTCGAGTTCACCAATGTAAGCATTCTATTTGCCATACCTCGCTGTCCATGAGACTCGACGAATAATATGTACAGAAAAGAACCCTGTAAAATGAAAAATAACAATATTATAAAAGAGTCGTGCAGAACAAGTACATGAAGCTATTAAACAAGTATAGCATATACATTGGGACACGTACCTGTTGACAAAATTATTTAACCAGGACAACTGGTTACAACAAGAAGCAAATAGGCAACAATAAAGTGATTGATCTCATCGCAAGGAAATGCTATCTAAACACCAAGCTTCCATTCTGTTGACGTCTCAAATTTTCAATAAGTGACTGGTAGAATGATTTCAGCGCTTTAATATCACTACCCTGCTAATAAAAGCCAGAACAATACAAGGAAAAGTCAGTAAAAGCAGATTATCCATTCTGTTTGCTTGTACATACTAATGGAGGTTTTATTCATAACCAGCCCTTCAAAAAAACAGGAGGATCCCAACACTGTGATCTCTACTTCTCCAGTTCTTCAAACAGTGCTTTCTGAACAGATGGTTCTGTCACCATCCTTACTAAAATTTAATTCAGCATGTCAAAGAAAAGAGTAGAATACCTGCACTTTCTGACAATACTGCTCAGCTAAATCTTGAGGGCAATGAGCACTTTGCAAGCTTTTTGATACAAAATGAACAAGAAAATCA